CCTGAATCCTAAACCCTAAAGGCCCTAAACCCCATCGCTCGTTCTGCAGCCCTCAGTGACACGGGGATGCCAGGCTCTGAGACTGCGGCTAGCAAGCCAGTGTTCCTGGTACCTGGTGCAGGCGCAGAGATACTCCAGGGGGTCGGTCGAGCCGTAGCCCGGAGGTGTTTCATGAGTCGGTTGCTTCCGCCTCCGTTGTCACTCCAAAGCCTCTAGTCCCGCGGAGGCATGCAAGCGGGAAGCTTTAGAACCCTCGCCGCGCGCCTTGCGTTGGCCAGCTACGGCCTGAGCTGGCCCAAGAGTATCCCCAGAGAAGAGTGGCCCAGCAGTCTCAAGGACTGGATCGCATGCATGGTCTTACAGAGTCTTCTGGGTTCTGGTAATCTACAGCAGCCCGGAGAGCACCCAAACAAAAGCCCAAGGCAAGGCCCCCCCAGGCCTGGCGCCCAAAGCCGAACAAACAGACCCTCAACTTTCAGCAAAAGAATCGAAGCAGCTAGGTTCAAAAGGCCCCAACGCCTACAGCCTACAGCCCCATTAAAGGGTCTAAGGTTTGGGCCCATGAAGCCGGTAACTTGCAAAGAGGAGCTCGCGGAGCTCTTCTTCGCCGAGATTCAGAAGGTCCAGCCTTCTGGTCCCTACATTTTGGCGGGGCACTCCTTCGGCCCCCTTGGCTGATTCAGAGCAGCGAAAGGATGGACAAGGGGGGTGTCCCAGGATGAGATGGTCGTGAGCGGCAGATAGAAGCAGACGCGCGGGAATACGCAGCAGAGCTGGAAGTTCTTCGATACTAGGAATACAGGGAGGAGAAGAGTAAATAGCAACCAACAGAAAAGTCAGCACAACCAGGGCACATTTATGGTATCACGGGATTCATGTCAATAATCATGACCAGTGATGTAAGCACACTGCGGCGATGTCCTATGCGAAGCACCATGTCTTGATGAAAGTCGTGGTGGTACGAAGAACAGCAGTCACAATAGACATCATTCGGCTATGCATCGCGGCCATGACAACGGTGATCATGTTGCTGGATGGAATTTACTCGTGCATACTGATATGGCGGCGGTGGTTGTGGCGGTCGTGGTCGTGGTCGTGGTCGTGGTGGCGGCGGTGGTGATGGTGGTGGTGGTGGTGGTGGTGGTTCGGATGACGTGGGAACGATGCTGAAGATAAGCATTAGGCAATGGCGATGATGACGACGATGACGACGGCGACTCTTGAAGGATACATCGGCCAGAATCGTCGGCAATAATGCACCATCGTGGGCCTCTGGTTTTGAGCAACTTTACTATGTCCATTATTTTCAGGATCCGGTTTCCCGGTTGTTTCTTGCCCAGCGTTCGACACAACCCAGGCGCCAACGTCTGTTTGGAGATAGCAGCCGTCGCCTCCTCGAAGGGGCAGCAAGCGGCCCGTCGGCTTTCTGAGAAGTCAAGTCCAAGACATGTCCCTGAAGCCTGTTGATTGTGCTTGGTCATTAGGGGTTTAGGGTTTAGGGTTTAGGGTTCTACTTCCAGAGCCAATTGTTCGAGCTATTTCTGAGCACCGAGTCTGCCTAATGTGCGAGTGCATTGCCGTCAGTGGAGCTGCAGGTATCTATGGTAGTCCTGCTGGATCCTCGAAGCTTGCTACCTCTTCAAGTGGACGTGCAAGCAGCGTTTGCCAAGTCAGGCCTGCTGCCTCAACAGAGAGACCAATACTGGCAGCATACAGTGAACTCAAGGTGCGGTTCGCCCTGCATGCAGAGTGTCTGATCCTACGGAGGCCTTGCCGAAAGCTTGGCGCTGCTGGCACAGACTCTGCCGGGTGTAGAAGGAGCACGCTATGCAGAGCTCTTGGACGCCCACGCAGGGGACGGCGACGAGGCCGATTTCTGCAAGCCTTGACGACTCACCGGAAGACGTGAGAGGGACGGGAAGTAGCTATATATAGTATATATAGTATATATATATATATAAACACTATATATCTATTATATTATATTATATATAGCAGCTAAAGTCCATCCAGCAAGAAAAAAAAGCACCGACTCCTGCAGTCTACTCAGCAAAACCTGTGATGCAGGCCATCAGGAAAGCCCTCAGTCCGGGGGCCCTATCTTCCTTGGAGCACGTACATGCCACTTGGTCCGGTTTGAGCTGCAGGGGTTTCGGGCTTCAAGTTTTACATAGATGTGCCTGTAGCTTTGTCAGTGATAGTGATAATACTGTCCGAAACCCCCCCTTCAAACTCGTAAACTCAAAGCCCCTCGCCCAGGAAACCACGCAGTGGTACAGCGCTCTGCTCCAGCAGGGCGAGGCCCCGCCGGCGCTTCCAGGCACCAAAGTCGCAGTTCTGCGAGCCCCGGTGGCCGGGGGCTCGGAGTTTTCATAGACTTGCCGGAAGGAAAAGTCATACTGACAACAGAAGGGGTATGGTGCATTTCCTAGTTAGGGGGTCCCCATCTTGAGGATCCTATCTGCGGTTTTATATAAAAGCATGTAACATGTAACATCAGCCACGATTGTCGCAACATGACGAACAAGGAGGAGCAGTGACATCAGGGCCATGGCCTAGTATCATTCAAGGGCAAGTGCATGTTAGCAGTGCTGATACAAACACAGGTGCGAATGCCGACATCCAGACTCATGTGGGTACGCATGCTGTACCGTGAACAACTAATGAGAACTGGAGTGCGAACAGTACGATTCACACTGCAAGCAGCCGTATCCGTGTTCTGACTAGTACCATCGCCAGGAATGCGACGGGCAATCATAGGGGGTCTCGATTTTGTGATACTTTACTAGCAGCGCAAGCACTTCGAACACTGACGAAGGTCAAGAGCAATAGTGCTAGACGATTCTGACTCTGCTGGTGTCCACATTCATCTCTTTTCCCCATTTGTAACAGTCGTGATATGTCATGATGCTGGTGGCTATGATCCGGACCTTGCATCTCAGGCTTGGAAGTCGGCAAAGGCGAATGAGACTACTGCGGAGAGGATTGTGCGTTGCTCGGTAAGACTGGAAGACAGTGGGCTTCAGTGGGGAATCTTCCAGGCCCCCGGTTGCCCTAAAGCACCTAAGTATGTTTTCTCAGGTTTATTATTCTTATTCTTAAGATTATGGTTATTACTCATACTATTGTTATTGTGATTACTCATACTGTTAGTGTTGTGATTATTACCATGATCCTAACGCCTGACCCTAGAGCCTAAAAGCCGAGGTGAGTTCCAAGCTCTCCTAAACCCTAAACCCTAAACCGTGACCCTAAAAGCCGAGGTGAGTTCCAAGCTCTCACCTTCCAAGATGACAAGGAGGTTGCCAGCCAGCTTTCGGCCCTTTCGCAGGCGCCTGAAGTCCTCAAGGCTGGGCGTCGGAGCCTTCCTTTCTTGGGGATGCAGGGGCATAGGGTCTAGAGCTTCGGGTTTCGAGTTTCGGATTTCGGGCTTAGGGTTTCGGGCATAGGGTTCGGTTTCAAGCTGAAGAGTGTCGGTTTCGGTCTGAAGGAGACGAGTGTTTACATGGGTTCATCACTTGCTGAGCCCCGAAGATCCTGGCAGGTGCCGGGCACGCACTTTAGCGCCTCGGCCGGATCAGGGAATACAAAACACATGTTTTGTTTTGGTCTTCTTTTGTTACAGTTCATCTGTCGATGTATCTGTAGGCAAACAATTGAATGTAAAAGGACGTTAATGGAGGGTAGTTCAATTCGGGAGGGTACTAGGATGCTCAGGAGTCTTAGGGCCTAAGGGAGCCTAATCTGGGTGCCAGGTTATTTTAGATCTTCCATGGGCCCCTCCGACAACAGTTCCAGTAGAGTAGAAGAAGAACTTGTACAGATAAGCAGTCAGTTCTGATGTACGTATATGCATCTACATGTACACAGTCTGCACATGTTCTACCGTAGCATGTGTACGTATATGTCTTTATATATATATATACACGCATGCATAATGCCAACCATACTTAGATGATCTTATATGTGTGTATATATATATACATATATATATATTATAACCATATACATATATATATATATAGGTATGTTTGTGTGTGTGTGTGTGCGTCTCTGTGTGTGTGTGTGTCTAGAGGCTTGCCCACCTCTGAATGCGCGACCAGGCATGCTCCACGAGCCGAACGTCGCAAGCCAAGTGCACGAGTGTAGAGGTAGATTCTCTTTCGAGGTCACGCCTCTAAGGGTTCTAAGGGGTAAACTGTCTCTGAGCCTATCCTGTGTTCTCTGCTCTCAGGTGATTAAAGTGGCGTTCAAGGTCATTTCAGCTTTGAACAGCATGGAGGAGGAAGATGAGGAGTAGGCCGCAACTGTGTGCAAGTAAGCGTCGGGGTTTCAGAGAATTGTTGTTGCTGTCCGAGTGACCGCGGCTGACAGCAAAGATCAGTTTACACGGAGCTTGAGTGGCCTTCGGGGGCTGATGATGCTTCTGGTAGCGTTTGTCTGACCACTTGTTTCTTGTGACTGTAAGATCTGTAAGTGAGGCCAGTGTGTCCGGGGGTGTCAGTGTCTGTTGCCAGTACGAACGACAGCTTCCTGGTTTCCAGGAATGCTGATATGATGATTCCGGGGAGGACGTGTTTTCATGATCGTTAAAGCCCATTAAGCTACTTTGAATGTACTTGACGTTGCATCTGGCCCGAATATGTGGGAGTGACTGAAAATAAGGGGAACCTCCCAAATGAGATCAACATAGCAGGACCCTCGTTTGGACGTCCCCGAAAAGCTCCATCCCCGAAATCGCTTCAAACCGGCCTGTGGGAGGCGTCCCACTGCGCTGCCGCGTGGTGAGAGACGGAGATCGTCAGTTAGCACAGCAGCTCTAGGGTCAGCCTGTCAGCCAGTGGTCGTTGAAGCAGAATTCTAGTCGCTAGTTTTGTGCATCTCGTCACTTCTTCAACTGAAGATTATATCAATTTCTGTTCTGTTTGCTGTTATGAGCTGGCAATCGCAACTGTAGAGATGCCGGGTGAGGACCCCAGGTGTTGTGTAAGCCAGAGCGCAGAGCGCAGCACTCAGCGCAGCTCCACCCTATAAAAAAAGCCCAAAAAAAAAGCCCTGAACTCAAGAACTCGGGGCCCTTCTCCCTGGAGCTTCTTCGGCTCACTCCGGGGCAGAAAGCGCCGGCGAAGGAATCCGTGCATCCCCAAAGATGGAAGCACCCGCCAGATGGCAGAACTGAGTGCCTTGAGTCTCTCAGAGAAACCACCCGAAGACAAGATGAAGACAAGAAGGCTACTGACATAGGGGTTGCCCTAATAAGGATCCTACTATGTAGGGTACTATATTTGGGTCCCCTATTGTCGGAAACCCCCATATGTAGAAGTACTCAAGAGAATACAAAGCGGACCGGATGCCTCGCATTGAAAAGGAAGGTCACCGAGGACTTCGGCAAAAAAGGGCCACTGCAAAAAAACCCTGAGACTGAAGGGCTCAGCCAGGAAGTTCTGTGCACATGCGCTTTGAAGCCTGTGCAGATTTTCGCTTAGATACCGTGACAACTTATGACGGCGGTTCTCGGAACACCTCCGCCTTTGAGGCGACATTCAATGATTTTAATATCGCCATCGAAAAAGGGATGTTTCCTGGCTGCAGGGAACAAGACATCCGTTTAACGGCTTCGAGTTGACCTGACTCAGGGTTTCCACCTCTGAAGATGCAGCTTTTGGCCCAGGTCGGCAGTAGACCGGTAAAACCTCCATAACAGCCTCAGAGAAACATTGGAGAGCGCTTCTACTTCTAGAGACAGTTCGTTGATACATCAAACATCAAGAACATCTTTCAGACAGCTTCGTTTCAGTGGCTTCGCTGCGGAAACTGCAGCCTGGAGCCTAGTTTCACTGCCTGCTGCAAAGACTGCGCGGGCATAGCTACCTGCCATAGACAGTGACCTACCTTGAAACCCCCTGAACCCCGGCTATAAAGCCTGCAAAAAAAGCCTCAAGCCAGAGTTCTGGAGACCCAATGCACAAGGCCTGTCTTTCGCGCGGATCGAGGCGCCCGAAGCTAAGCACGCCGTCTACACAGAGCAGCGGCTTTCAGCCTTGGGAAGCCCCTGAGCCCTAAGCCCCAAACCCTAAAGCCCTACATTCCGAGGGCCCCAGGCCAAGGCTTGCGATGCCTCGCGATGGCAGGGCGACTGCCAAAGCCAAGCTTCCGAAGCTGCAGCCCAACGTCAACAGGCTCCGGGCTGATAAGGGCTACTGGAAGGGTGGCGTTAAGGGTTTGCATAAGTGCTTGCTACAGGGGCTACTATGCGGATTCATGTTGGGGCTCAAGCAGTCAAGGTTGAAAGATACTCCGGGCTTAGGGCCTTCACGGCGAAAGAGAGGTTTAGGCTGTAGGATTGTCTGGGTTTAGGGTCGTTCAGTTTGAGGTTCAGGGCCTGCGCCATTCTTCTGCAACATACTTCTCACGATGGCACAAACTCTGTTAGGTCCCCCGGCATAGTGCCCTTCTCCCCTTCTCTTGGAGACGTCCTAATTAGAGACTGGCTAAACTAGAAGTTCAGCTGCCTCGCGATTGCTTCTCTTCGGAAGCTCTTGCGGAGCTTGGAGCTTCGCACCGAGTGCTCAAAGCCCCTGGCCTTGTTATTGGACTCGTATCATCACTATTCTTGGTATGGTTGTTGTTATTGCATTTATTTTTGAGTCTATCCTTCTTATAATGCGTGATAGTATGCTGATTATCTTGTTTTATGTCTTTTTTTTTACTTTATTCGTGAACAGAATCTTCATGGGGTTGCTTTTGTCGTTATGATCATCACCCTAAACCCTGAAACCCTAAACCCTAAACCCTAAACCCTGAAACCCATTGTTCTGATTCTTGTTGCCGGTGGTCTTCCGTGGGTGCTTGGAGCAGTTCCGGGCGCCTGAAGCCCTCCCCCCACGAGCCCTACAGCTCATGTATATGTATGTGTGTGTGTATATATATATATCTATATGTTTTATACTATATCTTATATACCATATCTTATATATTGTATACTAGATATAAGATAATTAGTAGGTGTTAGATCCAAAGATTTCTTCTCTGCTTGCAAGGCGTGCGCAGCAGATCATCACTGCACACATGCAGCTCGAGGACCTCGTGGGGTTCAGGTGCTTGGCTTTTAGCCACTGAAGGCGAGGTAGGGCCGACGAAGGCGAGGAATAGGGTTGACCCCCCCCCCCCCCCCCCCCCC